ACACATCTCATTACGCCTTGCTTTAAAACGAGCAATTGCCATTAGTTATTTATTAATTGCTTATTAAAGTCATTACGTATGTCCTCTTCATTTCCAGGCTGCTTTTTTCATGTCTTTGGCTGCTGCCAGGTTTGCGCAGAGGGGGCTCGGTCCCTCAGCAAAGCCGAGCCGAATTGGGCACGCCGACAGGGAATGGGGTAATTGTGCAAACCCAGGGCAGAGGCAGCCCCGGGGGGCAGGATCGGCTCCTGTAATTGTAAGGTTTTTGTATACAGGCCAACGTGACTGAGGAATGTAGCTGGAAGCAGGCTTTAAGGCTGTGTTTGCCCTTCCTCGCACCCCATGGACTTCAATATGGCTCCTGAACTGTGTTGATATGATGGAAGGATGAAGTGTGCTCTGCTTTTCTCTTAATTACAGTTGTGTTAGAGTGGCACAAACTGATTTAAAAGCCCATTATAATACACCTGTAATTGAAGGCGTAGGTCTCTCTATTTGCTCTCTGCCTTAAAAAGCAGAAAGGTTTTGAACACAAAAGAGTGAGAAGGCACAATGGAGGTGCCTGGCACTGCGGCAGCCAGAGCGCCGTACCTTCTCCTGACCCGGCGGCTGCTGCCGGAGAAGTGGAAACTGCTCTGGCTGCAACCTGGAGGAGTTGGATGGGGAGCCCGACATTGGGGTCCCTACCCAGAACCCAGTCCCAACTGGCCTTGGTGGACCCCTCCGTTGTTGGCATGGGAGCGTGGACTCAGTCCGACTCGTAGCATCGCCGCGAGCAGGGATGGGCACCCAGGGCTCTCGCTCGCCAAGTCCCAGAGGCAGCTACCCATGGTAGCAGTGCTCTGTAAAACACGGGGAAGTCTGTGGGTGACAGCAGTAAGAGGCTGTTATTAAAAGCAGGAGCAGCAGCAGTCTGATGTTCAGGAAGCTGCCAGTGCACATCACAGATCGCCTGCAGAATGCAAGTCCTGAATCTCCCTCTTTTTCTTTCTTCGAGATGCTTTTATAGTTGTTCTTTGTTGTTCCCTTTGATCTGGAGCAGATGTTGCTCGTGCTGGAAGATGGAGGTTTGCATGTTTTATGAGGGGGAAGCAAGGCGCTGCTAGGCTTACCGGGAGAGCCCACTCGCTCGCAAGCTGCTGCTGGGGGCTGCGAGTCCTGCGCAGTGCAGGGTGCTTCGCTGGAGCAAGCACCCAGCTCCCGCACGAGAAGGGATTTGCAGGTCTGGAAAGGTCACACGTGTATTTCTGCGCTACTTGCTTGGCTCCCAAAACTGTGTAGAAAGGAGGTGGTTAAGGCAAGAAAATGCAATTACTCCTTGAAGGCACCCAACTTGGTGAGGCTCATCTGAGGTCTCCTTCCCTGTCTCCGGTGGAGAGGTTGCTGCAGATCCACGCACCCCTAATATTCAGGGATCTCCTTGTCTCTCGCCTGATGTGTGGCTGAAATTTGGGGTGCCCGGGGAGCCCAGCCACGACAAGGGGTGCGTCAGGAGACAGTGTCGGGGACACAGAGTTGGGGAGAGGAAAGCACGGGCAGCAGCATGGCCATTGCGTGCAAGGAAGATGGATGGGGAAGTAATGAAGATAGGAGACGGCAGGGCCAAGGGGTATGTGCATGGGATGCGTGAGCTTTTGCACCTGTGGTGGCTCTGGGACAGGTGTTTGGAGGTGAAAACATAGCGGGGACATAGTCAGTACCAGTGGCAGGAGGGTGTCTGTGCGCCAGGGAATATATCTGTGTAGGCAAGTGCATATGCTTGGATCCGTAAAGACATATATCACCTGACTGAACACCCTCGAACGTGTAACGCGCCATATGGTTTGGTTAAATATTTAAGCAAGCTGCTTTCTGTCCCGGGGACTTCATGTATGCAAGCAGGCGCCAAGTCCAGGCAAACCGGGGGCATGCCCTGGGCCCCTGCGGAGGGCTGCAGCGGCTGAGAGCAGCCCAGAGACCTTTCCCATCATCATGGCAAGGATAGGGAAAAAAAGAAGTCAGATCGATAAAACACCAGCCCGTCTCTGGGGAAATCTGTACTGTGTAACTGGAGCAGCTTGGCCAACACTGCCATGTTTAATCACTTCTGAGCAAGAGAGATGCTGAACACAAAAGGACTGCCCGCAAGGAGAGGGTTCCCGCCTGGGAAGCCTGCATTTATTTAGCTTTATTTATTTATTCATTCCCATAGGGGCACAGCTCCATCTGCGTCCCGCGTTCAGCATAAGAAATTTCTCCTCTGCCCCATTGCTGCAGAAATGCCAGCTGACGGTGAAAGCGTTTTAATGCAGAGGGAGCGGGAGCACCGGTGACCGTTAAATAATATTAAATATATACTTGCGATCACTTATTTATTAAGGTTTCTCTCCCTAGTGTGGTAAAAGCCTTACAACATACCTGTTCAGTCTCCAGAAAGGCATTTTAAACAGTTCGTGTGGTTAATTATTCAAACGTTTAATTAGCATACAATAACTGTCGTGCTAAATCCTACCACTGCACATTTAATTTAAGGGTTAGCTAACGACTTCGCTGACGTTGTCGCTCTGGTTTACTTCCCAGCCATTCCTGCCTCATCTCATCCCAGATGGGCCGCAGTAAATTGTCTCTCCCCGAGCGTGTCCCGAGCTCGCCGGGGCATGCTGGGCTTTTTCCCCGGCGCACGAGTGGCTCGAGCTGCTTTTGCACTTGTTGGAGAGAGTTGCAAAGTCTCCCATTGCCCGGCGAAGCAGCAACGCAATCATCTCTCCTCCTCTGCCTGGTCTGAGCAAAATTTAAATCTCCTGCTGTATTGCTGAGGAGGAGGATGTAATGCTCGTGTGTCGGGAAATCCAAGTTTAATTTGTTTTAATTATGTTTTAGAATCTGGTCAGTTGATTTTTGTCTCTCGGCTGGGCGGGTGCAAATCCATGTGTGCAGTACCAGAGTCGCCGTGCAAAGTCTGACTTGATTCTTTTTTTAAGTCTCGGTGAGCTCTGCAAAACGAGCTGAATGGGTTGATGTGGGTTCAGTAGTTAAAAATATCAGAAAGGTTCCTGTGTGATTTAGTGAGCATCGCATTGAAGATGATAGATATTGCTCTAGTTTTGTCAGGACTTACAGTTGGAAGCTATTGCTTCTTCCCGGGCGATGGCGGGCAATTCACTGTGCCTCCACTTGTCTCTTTCCACTTCTCCGAAATGGCCACGGTGATACCTCCTTGGCCTATTTTTGTTGTCCAGACCGTAAGCTCGGTCTTTTTAAAGCACACATGGGTTTCCTGGCTAGCGGTCCCAGCCTCGCCAGGAACATGGCAGGGCAATCGTAGCACTGTTGTAATTAATTGCATCTCCTCAATGGACTACCTGGCTGTTGGAAGAGCATCTCCCAGCTCTGTGTGGGCAGGTGGTCCCAGAAGGCATGTGCTGTCCTCTTAATGCTGGGCTTAATGATACTGATGCATATTAATATTTCTTTCGGTGTTGTCTTCATGCCCTCCACTGTCCTGCCCCACAGCCCCCACTGTTTTGGGAGCGTCTGATCCATAGTTGTCCTCTGGTGCATGGTTAGCAGATTAGCCGTCATGCCCAGAGCAGCAAAAAAATGAACTCCCAGCAGCCCTTCAAAACAGAGAATAATTCATTACCCACCTTGATTTCCACTTAAAATGTACTTTAACTACACTTCCAACTACAAACCCTAAATCACCCTCATGTTCACAAAAAATCCATCATTTTTTATTTTATTGCACGGCACTGGCATGACATAATCCCTTCCAGAGCGTCTTGGAGTGCTTTACGGATCAATAAATTACTTACCTGCACAGCAGAGGCAATGCGTGCAAGGCCATTGCAGTCATTCCAGCTCGGTGCAGCCCCGGGCAGGTGGGGAGAGGCAGGGAAGGGGTGCTCAGGAGTGGGGGTCCAAGTCAGGAATAGGGGTGTTGCAATGATCTGGGCTGCAGCTTCAAGCAGGTCGATGGATGGGGCTCGCCCAGGGAGGGTGGAAGGAGCAGGATGCTTTGCAAGTGATTTGTGACTCTCCTGCAAAGCGCCGCAGCGGGATGCCAATCCGCTGCTAGGCTCTGGAGAATGGCCTGAAAAAAAATAAACCAAGGAAGGTGATGGTCTTTATTATGTTCTGCAGGTGCAGGCTGATAACAGCAGCCGATCGTTTTTCTCGTACAGTCTTGCTGTAGAGCTTGTAGAAACCCCAGCCCTCCCTGGCAGCCGCATCGCATCCTCCGCTCACGCGGCAGCAGGGACTGAGCGCTCCCTGCTTGCTCCGCATCCCTTCCCCTTCTCAGCCCGCCTTCTCATCACCCCGTGTCCTCTATGTGTGTCCCCTCTTTGGGTCTGGGCCCCTTGTATCTCACCTGCTCCTGAGTGTTCATGATGGCAGTGCCAATGCAGTGGGATGGCTTTCATCCCAGTTGAATTTCCCTTCCTTTGCATGGTGGTAGACCTTAGAGGCTCCTCAGTAGACTTCTTGTCTTCATGCCCAGCTCCTCTTGGTGCTTTTTCTGGTTGCAAGGGCACGACAGAGAGCCTGCATGGCTGCAGAAAGATCTGCAAGCCACGTGCATGCTTTGGATGCTCTTGTTGTGCCAGGAGCGACTGCTGCTTTTAGGGGAGTTTGAAGGGGGTGGGATGGTGTTTTCTTGGTAGGATGCAGCTCTGCTGGAAAGGGTTCATCATGGCTCGGAGGGCAGGATGAGTACTGGAAGCGGGGTGGGGAAGAAGTACAGTCTTGCACACCACGGAGGTGCTGAGGAGGAGCTATCTTGAGCCTCCCTAAAATGACTGAATCCCCTCTGGCTACAATTTCTTCCCACTTCAACCCTGTCTTCTCTGCCCCCCCTTTCCCCCTGTGTGTTCCTGTCAAGTCACATGAGACTGATGGGCTACTGAATAGCTCGTCGAGGTGGAGGGAGGAAGGCAGTTCAGCCTCCTTCACCCACATTTTGAGATGTGAGTCGGAGCAGAACCGATTGCATTTTCATTTCCCTCTTTGTGTCATCGCAGTGTCTCCGAAAATCACTGAGATCTCTTCTGACATCTCCATCAACGAGGGCGGCAACGTCAGCCTCACCTGCATAGCCACAGGCAGGCCAGATCCAACGATCACCTGGAGACACATCTCGCCCAAAGGTAAGAGCCAAATGTTACCAGAAATATTCTGGGAAGGGCACAGCGCCATTTGCGAGCAGCTGGGGAGGTGTCGTCAGCTGGTTCACATGGCACTTTGGTTGCAAAGAGAAGATGATGTGCACCGAAAAGATATGACTTAATGCAGGAGTTGATGACTGGTGGAGAAACATCCATCTTGGTGGTCTGGGAGAGGAGCTTATGGTTTTGCTTGTGTGGAGGACTGGCAGTGGGTACCAGCTTGGGGTTGTCATGCGTAGGGATTGAATGTGCTTGTCCGGCCCTATTTTGAAAAGTTTTCGGGGAATTCTCGCACGTTGCTTCAAAGGAGGACTATAAATAGTGCAAATGAGCAAGAAAACACACGAAGCATTAATTGGTGGCCTTGTTAATTGGTAAGCAAAACCTGAGCAGAACTGTGTGGGTGTGACTGCTGGGAAGCAAATTTCCATACGTGCCCATTCGGGAGCATATTATTTCAAAACCATTTCCCAGCTGCTTTTTAGCATTTGCTTTGCATTTTGCTGCCCTGTTATTCCCGTGTGGCTGCGAGGTTCTCGCCAGTGAGCTGGGGGTGAGATCTGGGGGCTTTGGGTGGGATGACCCATTAGGCCAAGGGGCAGTGCCTGGCTCTGATCCTCTGATCCCGTCTAAGCGCTTTAGTTCAACCTCAGTCATTTTTCCCCTGAGGTTTTACCAACGTGGGCTGTTGTCCCTGCCTCAAGTTTTCCTCGGGGACGCCCCGGCCAGGCTGTCCAGCAGCCGAAGCAGACGATGCAGCGGCAGCAGTGATGGATGGCGCCGCGTCTGCTCCCTCTATTCAGCTGCCTGCCGATGGCTGCGGTGTCTCGGTGCAGCTCCATTGATTTTTTGCTATTTGTCTGCGCTGTAGCAAACTGCTGGGCCAGATCCATCACTCTCCATAGCCCAGGCAGAGGGCGAGCTGAGTCGGCGGCATCTCAGCCCCTTCCCTTGACAGGAGCCTCTGTAAAAACCATTCCCCCCCGGTGCACGTGTTGGCTTATCCGCCTTAGGTGGTCGTGCCTCCGAGACGGTGGCCTTCGGTCGGGATCTGTGCGTGGATGAATGATGAAATGCAGGGCGCAGATCCGTGTGCTCCTCTCTGGCCCCGAGCGTCTATCCATGGCATGGAAGTAGCTGTCACTGTATCTGCCACCATCAGGCAGCATTTATGGTTGCGGCAGTCCATGTGCTCCCACCTTGAAGCCTTTTCTTTCTTCTCTTCCCGTTGTCTACCCTGACAATGTCTTTTTGTCTCACTTGAGCTCCTCGCCGCCTGTTTTTCACACACATCTTGTTTTCCCTATAGCCCCGCTTCCCACCCGCATCCCCTCCTGCTCCCCCAGGACCTTCCTCTCCCACTCCTGTGCCCCTCGCTGCCTTCTCCCACACGCCATCCATCCTCTCCTAACCATGCTCCTGGTTTATGATGCCTCTGTCTTTTGCGAGGGCTATTTTCTGTGTTTGCTGCCATCCAGCAGGTTTCTTTCCCCAGGGAATCTTTACCTGCGCTTGAACCAGATGTTTCCATTTTACTTAGGACTTAGCTGCTATGGAAACTGAGGATGCACCAGGAGAGGAAGAGTGAGCTAATCAGAAATTACCCGTGGCGCTGTGTAATTTGCAGCAGCAGCTCTTACCTGATTTTGGCCATGATTAGGCATTCTGCTTTCAAAACTCAAAGGGAACAAATGATCACAGAGATTTACTTGAGTCTGGCCTCCTGCTGATGGAGGGTGCTGAGCCCAGAGGTGGCCCGAGACAACTTCTGCCCATCTCCGTCAGCAGCTCCTCTGCTTCTCTCTCTGGGTCTGCCAAGCCCCTGAGGGGGACCTCTACTTCTCCATTTTGCATTCAGCGCACATAGGAGAGATGAGGATTGGAAGCGTGGGGACTGAAATAAAAGCCAGGGCAGGTGCACAGAGGTGCTACAGCAGATGCCGAGACGGTAGCCCTTTCCCTAGCAGGCTATACTCTAATTTGGAGAGCCAGGAGTGAGCACGGGCCCAAAACTAGCTGCCAGCCCCTCTCTCGGTTGTAGGTCTGTCTCGCCACTCATCCCCGGGGAAGTCTCGAGCGAGCTGCCTCCTGTTCCTTCTCGCCGTCTTTCTCCATCTCGCTTGGAGTGGTGGAGAAAAGGGACCAGGGAGAATTGGTTAAGGGAAAGCTGGTGCATAATTTAAGGGTTTACAGAGCGGATGGGTAAGGGGCTCTCACCGATGTCGCTGGGGAGAGGCTTTGATAGCGCTGTCTCTGCCAGGCACGGGCAGAGCGGTAGCTGAAGAAGCCGGTCCCCATGCTTACACCGGCGAGTGCTCCTCTGTGCAAAGGCACTTCACGGGCTTTATTATTTTCTTGGCAGCTGTAAGCCTACTGTGTGGGAAATGGAGCAAGTAAGAGTGTTTGCTCACCGGGGGAGCGTGCGGCCGGGTCCTTCAGAGGATTTACACCGAGAGCAGCCCGGCTCCCCGGTGACTGATCTCATTTGAGACCCTTTTCCAGCCACTCCCAGCTCCCTTGACTGCTCGGCTGTTTTCTCTCCCATGCATTGCTCTGGTCCGGTGCAATATGCGTTTAGCCGCTTGGTCTGGTAAGCTCTGCTGAATTTTCACATCTGCAGTTGTTGCCACATTATAGGAGCCGTTAAGCCTGTTTTTGAGGCTCTGTTTGGTTTGGGGGCTGGCAGAGTTCCCCGCAGCTGGGAGGAGGAGAGTATTTTCGCTGTATAACTCCAGAGCCGAGTGAACCTGAGCAAGAGAGTTTTCTGCTAGTGAATCGCACGATTCACGGTGTTGTGCGTGCCCACGTTGTGTGTGCCCAGGCACATTCGTGTTTGCACCCACAGGTGCTGAGCATCTGTTTGTTTCGAAGGCTTCAAATGTATTATGGTCCCCAGCCTCGCGGTGCCGATGCCATCTGTAAACTGCGGAGAGGTTTTCTAGCTAATACTCTGGTTTTGGTCACTCAGGTGTTTCCATAGTTACTGGGCTCTTTATTTATTTTTTGGGGTAACTCTGATGTTGTCATGGCGATCGCCATATTGTCAGGCTGGTTTTCGTCTCTCGGCGGATGAAGGCTGGAATTTCTTGGCTAGGAAAAAGTGCAGCGTCCCGAGCTGCCGGGCACAGGGCGACGCTGAAGTGCGCAGAGCCGCTTGCTAGCAGAGCGAGCGGCACCGTGTTGAGCTAACCGGGGGATATTTATCCGTGCTGCAGACACAAGACCCGTCATGCCTCCTGTTAAGCTCGGGAAATGTGCTGAGGAATTGCAGTGAGGGCTCTCCCAGGAGGGATGAGGGCTTGGCAGCCTCTGTCCAAGAGAAGCAGGCATGGCTTCGCAGTGATGGTAATGAGGGCTCTGTGGTCAGACAGCAGGCATGGTTATCCTGCTGTGACAGGGCCAGGGACACAAGGAAATGGTGTAAAAACTGGGTGTGTGCATACAGATACCTTCGCTAGCACATCTGCCTGGCCGGCACCGGTCTGCCATGCGCGGATGTCCTGAGCCAGAGGCTGCATCCAAGTTGTCATCCTTAACGATCCTTGATGGACTTTTCTGACATGGTTTTGTCTAATTGCTTTTTGATTATTGCTGTAGTATGATGGATTCCAATGTAAGGCTTAAGACGGCGGCTGCCAGCGTAGGAAAACATTACAGTTTGGCTTGAAGGTGTATTTACTCGTAAGAGGTCTGATCGAGAGGTCTTTATAGCGGGAATCCCTCATTAATCTCAGGATTAGGCTCGGCGCTGAAAGCTAGATCCTGTGCGGAGCCAGAGTCCTGAGCTGAGTCCGAGCTGTGATTTGTGGGGTAGGTGCTGCCTGGGTGCTTCGCAAGGCAGAGGGACAAGACAGGGGAGATGCTCACAGGGTCCCGACATTGCCGTGGCCCAGATATCCTCGGTGATCAGTCCATTTAACCTCCATGGCCCTCCGCGTCCTCCCTGGAAGAGGTGCAATAGCAGTCCCTTGTCTTGCAGGACCGATGGGAGGATAAACGCATTCAAGACGTGACGTGCTCAGATGCAGTAGTAATCACAGCTCGGATATGCACTTAAGATAGATGAGACATGGTGGTCTAATGTGGCAGAGGTCTCATGAGATCATCTGTCTATACATCAGCAGCAAACCAGCAAAGGGACTCTGGGAGAAGTCTGGTATATTTGGATATATTGATTTTCTCTGGCTCTTGGCGGGGCTTAAAACAAGAGGACAAGCGACTGCAAAAAAATCCAGCTTGAAGAGTTGCTTGTCCCTGGGAAGGGAACACATCCTCCTTCCCTTCCTCCCAGAGGTTTGTCCATTAAGCACATCGCTTGCTGTCCTTCGTCTTTCCAGGACCCTATCTGGACAGGAGGCAGGGGATCTTTGTCAGACATCAGATTTGCAGCCCAGCTGGGAGGCACCGAGAGAAGGGGGATCCACTTGGGTGGGAAAATCTTCACTTGCTTCTGTGCTGCCTTGTCCCTCACAGTGATCAGCTCAGTGCCCCACAACATTGCTCCCTTTAACCCTGCCTCAAGGCACCTAATTAACTTTAGACCAGAGTCGTGCTCTCTGCTGGTCCTTTTAACAGGGAAATCTCTCTTGGAGTGAGCAGATGGTTTGTGTATGGCTGCTTCTGGGTTCATCCCAGGTCTCATGTTTCTGCACCGTCTCTTGTCTCCTGTTGAGGGTTCAGGTGGTTTTGGAGGAGGCCAAGCACCTGCTTCACCTCTATTCTCGGTGTTTAGGCAGCAGAGAGAGTTTGTCTGCATTGCGTCAGCCTGCACATATACCAAAGAGCCAACCAAAGCCTGTAGTGCCTTGCAGAAACGAGGAGTGTGAGCCCCTCTTGAGGGAGAAGGATTGGGGGACATGTTGTGTGAGCCAACACAAGTGGTGTCTCAAAGAAGGGACGTGAGTCCTCCTACTGCGGCTGCCAGCCCCAAGCTGCAGCGTTGGGTTGGGTTGGGTTGGTCAGAGTGCCATACGTGACGTCCC